GTAAGGGTCTCCCGGGCACACCTTGTTGATCGTTGTGTAGTCGACGCACATTCGCAAGACCCCTGAAGACTTCTTCACTAAGACCACATTTGCCAACCACTTCGGGTACTTCACTGGGCGGATCAATCCTACTGCTAATAGACGTGCGACTTCTTCTTCTATGGCTTTCAGTTTGTCGCCTGTGAAGCTTCGTCGCGCTTGTTGCCTTAGTTCCGCGTTGACTGGAACTGCGAGGCAATGTTGTGCTACTTGCCTCGGAACTCCCGGCATGTCTTCTGTGCACCAGGCGAACAATTCTTTGTACTCCTTCAGCAGCGCTATTAGCGGCTCAATCGCGTCACCGTGGATATGAGTCGAGATGCGTATCCTCTTTGTCGGCTCGGTTGGATCAAGCGCAACTTCAAAATTGGAATCCATGGATTCTGGGCGGGGCTCTTCTGGCCTTGTGTCAACGATGTTGGTCTGGCGAGTCTCTCCTTCTAGCTTTGGGACTTCCCATGGCGTCCCGCGCGCTTCTCCAGCCCCTTCCTTGGTGGGAAATTTAAGCTTCTGGTGGCACGTCGATGGGAGAGCCATGAATTTGGCTAGGAATGGTCAGCCAAAGATGCCATTGTGAGGTGAGTTGCAGGCGACTATTGTGAACTCGACTTGCTTTGAGACGCGCGGCTCTTGCTCTCCGATTACAACTGGGAGAGTGACCACACCAATCACTGGAACTCTCGTCCCGGAGAACCTGACCAAGTTCCCTTGTGCACGCTTGATTAGCCGCGGGTCAATGTCCATTTGGTCGACGGTGCTTTTGAAAAGGATGTCCGCCGCGCTGCCTCCGTCTATCAGTAGGCGGTGAATTTTGCAGGCGGCCACCAGTGCAGTGATGGTGAGTGGGTCTTCTGACGGGATTCCTTGTGGGAATTCAGCGTCGTCGAAGCTCAGGTTGCACTTTGTCTGTACCTCGGTTGTCGCGCATTCCATCGCGCGTTCGCGCTTGGTCTTTTTCTTTGGGCAGTCTCCTTCTACTGTTACCACCCCTATTTCCTTCCGTACTACATACGAGCCGGTAGCCTCGTTGTAATCGGCTTGCGGGGGTGGTGGCGGGTGTCGGGGCTGCTCTATCTGTTCTTCCGTTCCGCAGATGAACTCGGTTAGTAGTCCTCTTCGTATGAGGCCTTCAATTTTGTACCGCAGCTCCCTGCAATCCTCTGTCCAGTGTCTCGTCTCTCTGTGGAAGTCGCAATGCTTTTTTGGGTCGCGCATATGTGGTAAGGCCTTCAAAGGCGCGGGCCAGTTGATTTTGTAACCTTTCTCGCGGAGCACAAGAAACACGTTTTTTACCGAGTCATTGAGGGGCGTGTAGGCGTTTGGTGGGCACCTCTCCGGTGATCGCCCCCACTGAGCTTGTTCTGGTGGCGGGTGTGGGCGCCTCGGCCGGCTGTGTAACTGTACCAACTACTCCCGTGGTACCGGGAGCTGCTTCCGCCCTTGATCTTCTCTAGGCGGTTTCGCGGGTTCAAAGCGTCTAACAGAGCCTGCGCCAAGGGTTTCTTCCAGTGTGATGGCCTTCTCGATTTTGACCTCTAGCTCTGTCGACAGCGTGATTGGTCTTTTAGCTAATGCCCGCTTGAGTTTCATGTTGGTGGTGGCACCCATGATATGATGGTCGACTGTTTCGGGGGTAAGATCTCGCACGGCCATTGCCACCCTGGACCACCTGGCATAGAACGCTCGCAAGCTTTCTCCGTCTTTTTGCCTGATATCTATCAGTGCCTTGAGGTGGAGAGGCCTTCTTTTTTGTGACGTGAATTTTGTTGTGAACAAGAGTATGAACTCTTCGAACGAGCGGATGATTCCATTTGGGAGCCTGTTATACCAATCGAGGCATATTCCGGAGAACATTGATGAAAAGGTTCTGCATAGCGCCGCATTGGAGTTGGTTTGGAGTTGCATCCGCAGGCAGAAGGTGCTTACGTGGTCCTCTGGATCGGCCGTTCCGTTATACGTTGGGAGGGCGGGTGGCATTCCGCTTAGGTGCTCCGCCATGATTTCCGCGCTTAGCGGTTGGTGGAGGGCTCTTTTGGGTGGGTTGGGGCGGTATTGCGGGGATAAATGTTGCTCTAGGAAGCTGAGGTCCGCTCTGCTTGGCGGCTCGGCTTGTTGCGTTTCGCCTGCGGGTAACTCAGCTGGCGCTTGTTGTGGCAGCGGGGCAATTCCTGACGCTTCCCCTGCCGTTTGTTGCAGCGCGACCGCCGCCACGTCCGCTGTCGTCGCGCCCTCCTTGCTCATCATGAGCGCCATAACCTGGCTCATTTGTTTTTGCATATTGGCTATGACGTCGTTTTGCTTTGCCATTAGTTGCCTCATTTCTTTGGCTGTCAGTTCGGGCTCCTCCTCTTCAATGAGCACCGTGTTAAGATTGCTGGTTTCCGCGAACACCCTTGGGTTTGTGACACGCCAAAACACAACACCAAACTGCGACCAAGTGTAATCGCAGTCCGGGAATGCAGTAACAGGCAAGTTTAATTATCAACCCGGGGTCTAGATCTACTGCTTACTCCGTGATTCTCTATTATCTAACAAACTAGTTCGAGTGATTGTTGTGAAAAGTAAAAGCAACAAGAAAGCAGTAAATTGTTCGGGTTTCTAAAGCAGGCAAGAGTCACTCGGGATTGAGTCCCCCTAGCCCCTTAGTTAGGTTCAATTGTAATTCCCTGGGTTGATTTACTGTTGATTAGACTGCGGAAGATCCGACAGTAGCTTGGAATCTCTTAAGCTGACCAAGCCCTCTCAGTCTAACTACCCGGCAGACGACTAGTCTTCACCGGGATAGAAAGCTGAGGCTATGAACACAGAACTCCACTACTGGCGCCAAGAAGACCAGTACAAAGCAGTCAACTGGCTAACTCTCGTATAGCCAATCTCCTACTATCGAATGAAGAGGCTCTAACAACCTAATCAGATTCTATCTATCTCAGGTTGCAGCAGAAATTGAGAAAAGCTGATCAGACTCAAATCAATTCATTAAACATGCGTCATTCGATTAAAATCAAACAGTAATATCATCCCAAGTCATTACAATCAAATCCCTAACACAAGGAACTAGGGTTCTTCATACCCAAGTGAGAGAAGGGTTCTACTCCATAGAGAGAGAAGAGAAAACAAGAATCGAATTAGTCATACTCATAACGATGAGGATAATCTGCTCCGGGACGATGATTTCCACTCCTATGACGATCTCCAGGCTCGATTCGATGAAATCCAGCTCTAAGACAGCTTCTAGGGTGTGTTCTTCGCACTTTCTCTCTCTCGGGCTCTGTTTTTGCTCTCCAAACACGATTCCCTCCCTTTTGGCTCGGAATAGGCTCTAAAACCAGGCTTTCCCGACTCGCACGGCCAGGGTGCACGGCCGTGCATATTACCATTCTGGCCGTGCACTCCAAAACGCAGCCGTATCATTAAGTCGGCCTCAGGCTTCTCTCACGGCCAGGGTGCACGGCCGTGCGATCTTCGGGGTCTGCCCGTGCGTGGCCTCGGCACAAGGTGCACGGCCAACTTGCAACCGTGCACGGCCGTGCAGCCTCCCTGGTCTGCCCGTGCAGCTCCCAAAAACCTCGCCATTCGTCCGTTCTTCGTCCAATCGACCCCAGACTCGCTCCTAAGCCTTCATTCACGTACTAGGACCTGAAACATCACAAACAAGCACACCCTAGCGTGAAATCGGCCTAAAACACGAGAATCAACACCTCAAACGGTGTAAGAACGGGGGTAAAAATATGTGTAAATGACGGTCTATCAGTTTGTCATTGCCTTGATGGGTGTTGCTTCGTCAGGCGAGTTGGCGTTATGTTCTGCCATTGGTTGATTTTCTACTGCTTCTCTACTCGGCCCCACGGTGGGCGCCAATTGTTTGAACCTAACTGAGAGTAGGAGTGAGGTTCGGGAAAAAGGGTCAAGGAGAGTAAGCAATGAGAATCAGCTATGGATAGAAGAACAAAGGAAAGGGAGAATGAGATTGAGAGAGTGATATCTTAGAGAGAGAAGTTGGTAGTTTATAGAGATAGAGTTTGAAAAATCCGATCCCCTCACCCACCGGAGTAAATGCCATATTTATAGGCTACATGGTGGAGGGTGATTTACATGGTGGTATGGTGACATGACCATTGACATGTCAGGAGATTAGGCCACACCTCTACATAGGACAAGGGGATTTATCTATGATTGTGATGTGACCACTCCTTGGGAAATGCGGCGTCGTTTTCCATGGCTTCTTGGTCTGGTCAACGCTTGGCTTAGACGTCGTCGTTTAGTGTCCGGCATCCTTGTCCGCGCGTTAGAGCTTTGCCGTGCTTGAGGTCCTCGCGCGGGTTTTGGTCGCGTTGGCGCTAACGCGCTTTACTCTTCTGGGGCGATGCCGGGATGCTTCCTTGGCGCGGCTAGACCCGAGTCATATGCCCAATGATGTATTGGGATTTTACTGTATCTCTTTTTAGTTTCCTTTCCTATATGGAAATCTAAACATAATGTCTCAATATTGCACCAGAAAATTCCACATACAAAACTCTATCAAATGGTTCATTAGTTACTTTTAGATCAATATCGTTTGACTTTTTACTATTATACATTGAACATGTTTCCAAAGACTTCTATTATCCAAACAATTTCTGCCGCTAAATTTGAAGTTGAATATTGTATATTGAATTTCAGATACATCCCGGAAATTGTAAAAGCACGAAATTGGGGCTTCAAAAAAATTGTATAAACACTCTTTGGACTGCTCGCCGGGCGCCGGCGCCGCATTTTTATACTCTGTACAAAACTACAAATAGCAAACCAGCTGGCCGACAAGTGGCAACTACCTTCCCCGTCGCAAAACGTTATTAATTATCCCCAACGCGTCACCCTTCTAGAGTCTAGACTTTGCCGTAAAAATACGTAACACTTAAAATACGTTCATTAATACGCAAATTGTTTGATAAAAAAAAATGGACAGATATTCCAATTCCCACTTAAAAAACGGCAAGTCGTTTGGAAGCAGGCGCGTAGCTCTTGCTCCGCGGATACTTCTCCGCCTTCTTGCTGACGTCACTTTTCCGGCCGCCGGTGGATCCGTCGGCGGCGGCGGCGCCCTCTTCAAACTCCTCACACGCCTTGTCCTCGTCGATCCTCCCCATGAATCCCATCCCGACGCTGACACTCTTGGGCAGAACCTTCCCCGGCCCTGCGGCGGCGGCGGAAGCGGCGGCGGCGGCCACTCTGGCGGCCTCCCTCTCCTGCTGCCTGAGCTGCCGCAGCTGCTCGACGTACATCTCGGCCTCGTTCTTGTGGCCGTAGACCCGGACGGAGGCGGCCCTCATGAGCTCCCGGAGGTCCTCGCCGTCGTTGTTGGAGATGGAGGAGGCGGCGCTGAGGCTGCGGGGCAGGGAGCTGTACTGGCTGGGGTGGTAAGGGACGCGGCGGCGGCTGGGGTTGTGGCTGGCTCCGGTGGCGCATTCCGTCAAGCTTCTGACGTAGAGATCCCTGGCTCTGCCCAGCACCCGAAATGGGCAAGTAATTATCCTGACGAACACGTTCCGATTCTGCCCTGCTTTCGATTTCATGGCGGCGGCAGAGGGAAATTGAGCAAAATTGAAATTGGAGATCTGCAGGGGTTTTTCCCGGGTTCGGGTGATCGGATCTTTGAATTGGGTTTTTGAGAAAGAGATTAGATTTGGGGAATTGGAATTCGAGGCTGGAGGGGAGAAGAAGAAATTGTTGATTTATGGGGATTTAAGAGAGCAAGTTGCGGGGCGGCGGTGGAGGGTTTTATAAGAAAGCCCTAGGGGGGAAAGAAGAAGGAAAGTGGTGACAGAGAGAAAGGAAGAGGAATGGGGTTTAAGATGTAAAGTTAATCAAATCAATAATTTGGGTTGGTTATGGTTACACTGCTGGAATTGGACTTTTCCAAATCAGCCCACCGGATTATTAGAAATGATATTGTTTTTTATTCAGAGTCATGAAAAAGAAGATAGGGGAGTGGCAAATTGTTATTAGGTGTATGGTTTTTTAATAATATGTAGGGAAGAAAGTGTGGAAAGAAGAAAAACATTTGTTCACCAATCTCCATTTATTCTTTTTTGGATGGTTTAGAAATGGAAAGAGGATAAGAACGAACATGGCTGTCTTGCTGTGTCGGAACAGGGCGTGCAAGTGTGTGCTCCCGCTATCATAATATGATGATAATAATAATAGTAGTTTGCTATGATTATATTTCTCTTTTATTTTAATTTGATTCTTGAACTTATATGATTTTGTCATTCCGATATATAAATGTTTTTTTGTCCTACTAATACCCTCAATTAGTATTTTTTGTCATTTCAGTACATCAACTTCCTATTAATTGGTAATTCTAATCATATTTGAAACATGTCATTAACAATAATTAAATATACCATGTCATATGTCACACGTAATTTGCAACATATTAAAAACTTATAATTCCAAAAAAAATTCGTAGTTGTTTTATTTCTCTTTACTCCATTTCAAAAATGATTAGCCAATAAAAGAAAAGGAAAAGATTATAATCTTCTAATCAATTTGGCTATTGGTGACGTGAAAACATAAGATATGCAAGTTATGTATAACTCGACTTTTTTATTTTCATTTTTACGATAGTTTCCATCGTATGATGTTTTGCATAATTCAGTAAAAAATTATTCAAAAATCGAGCAACAATAAAGGAAGGAAAATTATTTATGCGATCCATTTTTAGATCTATTTTAAGTATCATGTGGCATACGATTTGGCATATGGCATTGAAAATTTAATTGTACTTAATAACATGTCATCCACTCTAATTAGAATTACCAATCAATGAAAAGTTTATGTATCGTAATGACAAAAAAAAAATTGAATTCGTATACTGGTATGATCTAAAGTGACGTTCATGTACGACCTGGCAGCTCTTTACTCTTTATACCTATACGCCAGCATGGGAAACGGAGGAAGCAAATCAACTTGCGTGTTTTATAGAGGTCGTTTGGCATTTATAAGGTTAGAATTTATGCATTTTATGAATGTTTTTATGGCGGCGGGCTTAAGATTTTTTAGGGCTATGGGACTCCCCATAATTTGATAAAAATTGATGAATTTTGATAGTAACTTGAGTATGGGAAAGAGGGATAAATCAGACATTATTCTATGTGATTCCAACATGTGAGACTGTACTTATTAGTAAATATGTTTTTCATTGAACTATAATTCATTTGTGGTTGTAATTTAACGTAACTATAATTATAAAACACCAGGTTATCATTTATCCACAAGTTTTCTAAAACCTAATAATTAAACACAATCCACTTACGGACTATCACTTATCCGGCCCCACCACACTCTAGTATATGATATATTAAAATATATTTATTGAATACGGTAGATAGTGAGTTTTTGTTTTAACTTACACTAATATTATGTTTTCTGGGAAGAGACGAACGATGCATGGGGATAGGTTAAGAAGAAAAATGAATGAAGTTTAAACTAAATGCAGGGTAAGGGTAATTATGGATTTAAATAAAATTGGAAGGGATAATTTGAGAAGAAAAAGTAAGACGATAAGAAATTTCAAAATAATTGTGGTGTTAGCTATTTTGAAAAGTATATTAAATTTTGACATACTCGAAATCACTCATTATTTTATCACATTTCTGAATAAATCATTATAAAAAAATCCGGCAGAATAAAAAATTCTAATCTCTCATTCAAATAACAAATTTGTCATTCTTAGAAGAAGCAAGCAAGAAAGCTACCGAGCGGTCCTAGATTAATTTAATGAAACATGTAGCCACGTTTTCATATACACAAAATCAATTTCTATATTATACCATTGGTTTGTCCCGTTTCTGAACGCAGCGGGTCCGATGGCTAAACTTGAGCTACCAATCATGATTAGTCAATCAAACACAGCAGCATGCATTTGATTAGTTCAGCTTGATGGCCGCCAATCAATCTACTGCCTTACTGCTCACTACACATTATTAAGGGCATTCTTTTCTTCTATATACCCTAGCTGGCTGGTCTTATCAAGTTCAGCTTTCAACATTAATTATCATGCCAAAGGTACAAGTCTATTTTGTGAGACATTAGTTATATATGTAACAAACTCAATCAACAAAGGCTCGCCTTTGATTTTGTTGTATCAATTGTCAATTTGTCATGTGTTTGGGTTAAATAACAAATCATTAACCTTGTATAAACATATAAAACATCCATGGTCAAGTACAGTGTTGGTACGAGTTGACACACACGTATAGAGACTAGTATGCAGGAAAAGCTAACATAGTGATGTGGTTTCACATATAGATATGGGTTTATGAAGTTAACCAAAGTGTTCCACTGACTCGAATGTAAGATGCTACTTATGGATACTCAAACATGGGAATAATCATCAAGTAACTCACAGTGTTCTGAGTAAGTAAGACCTCGCGATATTGTTAACCCTCGGGTTGTCTAGTGATCAGGGCCGACCAAGAGGGTGTGTCGGCCCGCCCTCAGGCACAGAGCCTCTGATTATTAGGGGCCTCTACTTAGATCCATTAGTTATTGATTGCATATTGTAGGTTGTATTTTTAGTGTATGATTGATTGATTATGAGTATGATGACGAGTTTAATAGATAATACTAGCTATAATAACAATTGAAAATGAACTCATGAGAATACAAAAATCAGATAGATAATAGATTATTTTATTTTAAACAATATAGAAAGATATTACATTTTGAATAATGGTATTATAATCATTTTAGTTTTATTATAGTAAAAAGTCAATTTGTACCACGTCTCGATTTGGGAACAGGACCTCCACGATCCATTAAACAGCCCCGCACCCACCTCTCAGTCAATTTAGACTATTTTCATTTCTCCGTTCAATTTTTGCGCTATATCTGTTTTCTAGTCCCTCCAGATTTACTTTCCTCCCTACTAGAGCTGGAAATTTGGTCTTGGTTTCTTGGTAAAACTAAAAACGAGATCATTTATTCCTTTTGTAATCATTTTCTGAACTTATATATTTTTTATAATTATTTAATATTTTTAAATTTTAATAAAGAAATATTTTAAGGCCATTTTAAATTTTCGAACAGGGCCTTCGAATATCATGGGACGGCCCTACTAGTAATTCTGTACCACTTGTATTCAATTTTCAAAATTTCCTTTCAAGTCTTATCTCTTGTATTTGGTTCTTTATCTATTCTGATTTTGAGTTGAGCAACTTATGATTAGACCTCTATTGAGATGCGGAATTGATTAGAAATAGAAATGGCATTCAACTTCTCTAGATCATCAAACACAAGAATTGCCAGTTACTCAAGATAGGGGTGGACCCAGGTGACTTTGGAGTGTCTCGAGACACCACTAAATTTTTGGGAAAACGATTATCTAACTTCTGGTGTGATAATTTACGTATAGATAAAAAAATTATAATTAATAGTCTGGGACACTCTGAAATTTGAAGAAAACAATTATCCTACTCTCTTTTGTAGTTTGCAGTTTGCGTATGGGAATATAAATGGTAGTTTGGGTAATTTAAACTCGTGATACTACTATTATTAATAAATATAATTTTCATTAGGCTACAACTTTTTTGTTGTTCTATTCTAAACACTGTGTAACAGCAAATCCCTATTCTCTATCTTTAATTATTTTCAAAATCTTACAATTAATCTAATCACAAGCTACCCTTAATTTGTATTGAATTTTGTGGTTTTATGGCAAGTGTTGAAAGTGTTTTTCAACTTTGAGTTACATCAAGAACAAATTTAGAAATCGAATATCCGTAAGTTCGTGAATAATTGTCTAGTAGGATATACCGAGACAAAATTGTTGAGTAGTGTATACACCAAGTGTATTTTACAATTTTTTCATAATATGAAAATATATTATGGACTTTTTTTAACTTAGGAGTTGGGTATTTTTTTTATTTAAGAATTATTTAGTTATTATTATTTATTATTTTATTTTTATTTTACTTTATTTTTTGAAAGAGGACACCCCTATGTAATTCTTGGGTCTGCCACTGACTCAAGAGAGAAATATCTAGTACTCAAGTAGTACATCAATTCTGGGAAGATTACATCTCGAGTCTATATTGTGTAATTTTCATTCATTACTGGATGTGTTAAGACCGACGGAATAACTTTGCTTATTGAATTATAATTTAGCCTAAAATTTTAGGAATTCTCGTAAATAAACTTATCGTTTAAAGGTTGGAATTGTCCAAATTAATGTATTTAATCTATTTGTGTATTGTGATTTGATGTATTGATGAAATGTATGAATTTGAAAAATACATTCTTTGGTGGTTTAGATTGTGTTAAGCTATAAATAAAAAAGTAGAGGGTAGACAATTCATTGTTCACAATCTCACCTTTTGGTAGAGATTGATAATCACTCATTTTGAATGATTGTAGGTAGGGCTGGAAGTTTGGTACCGGTATTTGGGATATACCGAATACCGTACCGAATTTGTCTATATTTGGTATTACCGAATACACGTATTATTTTGTGGGATTGGATTGGGATTGAATTTTAATTGTTATTCGGTATTAGGGATTACGGGATTGGGATCGGTATATACCGAAATATAAGCTAGTGTGTATTTTATCCTCTCAACTAGACTCTCTCATTCAATACTACGCGACCCTCAATCACCAAAAGTGTCATTTAATTATACATAGATCATTACATCACTATTTCACACTAGTATTAGTCGTCTCTCAACCTCAAATTCGTCAAATTAAAGATTACCAATTACAAGAACTTGAGATGTTAGTTCTAGGCAACTCAAGACTATTTGCTTAGTCTCTTTGCCCTACATTAAAAAATAAAATCTAATTTATATATT